TTAGGGGTGTGCGAATAATTCGAACTTACAAATTATTCGTTCCGAATCGAATAATTTGAATTTTCGAATTATTCGAAATTCGACGAACAATTCGAAAAAAATTCGATTAATTCGAAAAAATTACGAATAATTCGAAAAGTTTCGAATTATTCGTCGAATGTTGATTAATTCGAAAATTCGAATTATTCGGTTCGAATTTCGAATCGAATATCAATATTCGATTCGATTCGATTCGAACGATATTCGCACACCCCTACTTACGATACATTATTGTTTGTATATTTAACAATTAATTATTTAGGATAATTAAAAAAAAACTACTTAAAAAAGACTAATAAAGGATTTAGCTTGCTGACAACACTATCTTGATAAACTTAGGTGTTGATTAATAACGAACATAAACTAAATTTGTTCTTAAAACTATAATAATAAATATGTTAGTTAATAACAAACATTAAATTAATTTGTTGTTAAAACTATTAAAACAACATTTGACCGGGATACAAGTTAGTACGGCTGAAAAATTACTAGGAGAGAAAAATCCATTTTCTTATTGATTAAAAAAATTTTTCTTTACAAATTAGTTAAATATAAACTTTTAATAATAAATTAGGGATAAATTAGAATTAATTAGAGAAATTTTTTCAATTTTAGTCATTTTCTTATTTCGCATGGAATGCCCCAATAATTAATTCTAACTTAATTATGAAGAATTAATTTTTAATTAATTAATTATTAATTCTTAATTAATTCCTAATCAATAACCCAATAATGCCCCAATAATTAATTCTTAATTAATTATTAAGAATTAGTTCTTAATTAATTATAAAGAATTAATTCTTAATAATTAATTCTTAATTCTTAATTAATGCCCCAATAATTAGTTCTTAATTAATTATTAAGAATTAGGAATTTATTATTAAAAATTAATTTTTAGTTAATTAATTATTAAGAATTAATTCATAATTCTTAATAATTTTTAAGTAATATAAAAATGGTCATAACTCCTAAAATAATGATTTTACAAAAAAATCATAAGAATACAAAATTCTAGCTTATAAAATTTCCTAAAAAAAACGTTATTATACTATAGGTCTATTTTCAATATTTTCGAAGATATATCGACTAATAATATCAACATCCTCAAAGCACCTAAATCAGAATCGGAATTTCATCTCTGGAAGGCTGACCCACAAAAAACAGTGGCTTTCTAACAAAAAGCAAAGATCTCATTGATCTCGAATAAAAATTTGGGACGGTTTACCGTATTTTCCGTCCTCCACCAGAACTTCTTCCATTATCTTAACTATTAAAATTCCAGAAACAAAAACAAATTAGACATGCAAGAACAAATAATTATAATAACAAAAAAAAGTTCCCACTCCGCGATTCTATCCGAAATCGGTACAGGTTCCCTTTCCCGATTTAAAGACGCCCAATAACGCAATACCAAAGTCGGTTGTTGTACCACCAGGTTTAGTTAGACCGCGACCCCCATTTGTAAGAGCTGAAGTTATAAAGCTCATCGCGGCACAGAGCTCAGATACGTCGGTACTCTCGCGATCTAAAGACCGTCGTCAGAAAATATCACAGAAATTTTTATTTTTATTTTTTTTTTACCTGTGATGTGCTAGTGCTGCGGTAAGTTAATTATTTATTTAGTGAGAGTGTATTTAAATTTTTTTTTATTAATCCTTTCTCGGCCTCTACTTGTGAAAGTTTTTGTGATAGGAAATAATTTATAATCTAGAGAAATTTATCATTTTACGTTTAGATTAATTTATTTAAAGGAAAATTTTTTAAAATGATGATAAGAATTTTAATTAGTGCGATTTTATGAACGTTAATTATTTTTTCCTGGTTTATAGACATTGTTGCTAATTATTTTTATTTTTATTTCAATTGTTTGTTGTTTGTTTCAGGTGATGGCGAGTTTAATAAATTCTACTGCTACGCTTATTGGTGATGCTTATGATTTTTATTTGTGGACGCTTTCTATATCAGGTAAGAAATTTTTTTGAAGTATAATTATATATAATTTTTTTATAAAATTATATTTAGTCATAAGTCATATAATTTTATATAAATATTTGTATAAAATTATATCATGATTATAAGTCATATAATTATATATAACGGCTTATATAAAATTATATCAAGTTTTATTCTGCTTAAAAAAATTAAAAATTTTTTTAATTATAATTATTTATGTAAAATTATATTATTCTATAAGTCATATAATTTTATATAAATATTTGTATAAAATTATATCGGGATAATAAGGCATATAATTATATATAACGACTTGTATAAAATTATATAAAGTTTTTTTTTATATTTAAAAAATGTTAAATGTTCTTTAACTACATAATTATTTATATAAAATTATATTATTTTATAAGTTATATAAATATTTTTAAAAAATTATATAATCAAAACTCGTATAATTATATATAAACATTTATATAAAATTATATAAAGTTTGAAACAATGGATTAATTTTTTAAAATTTTTTATAATTATAGGTCATATAATTATATATAAATATATTTTTTTTTATTGTATCAGGATCATAAGTCATATAATTTTATATAAATAATTATAGAAAATTATATGAAGTGTTTTTTTTTCTATTTTTAAAAAAATATAAAATTTTTTTAACTATATATAATTATATAATGTGAAAGTTTGTATAAATATTTATATAAAATTATATTGTTTCATAAGTCATATAATTTTATATAAAATTATATGATGTTTTTTGTAAGGTTAAAAACAATCTATAAAAATTTTTTTCTTCATATAATTATATATAACTACTTATATAAAATTATATGAAGTTTTTTTTTTATCTAAATTAAATTAATGTAAATAAATCTAAGAAGTCATATAATTATATTACATGATTAGATCATATTGTTTAATATAATTTTATATAAAAATATACTATAATTTTAAAAACAGATGAAAGAACAAAAGGATGGCTCCTTGTGGACTCTCCAGTCCCAACATTGTTCTACACATTGATATATCTCCTAATTGTCTGGGCTGGACCAAAGCTCATGAAAAAACGGAAAGCATTCAAGCTCACATGGCTTTTAGTTCCTTATAATTTTGCAATGGCGGCACTTAACGCTTATATTGCTATCCAAGTAAGTTAATTTAATCAAAAAACAATAAATCAATTTAATTAATATTAATAAAAAATGTTTATTATTGCAGCTTTTTGTCGCTTCTTTCAAATTAAGTTATAGTTATGTTTGTCAACCAATTAGAAATGTTTGGAAAGCTGAAGAATTACAGGTAAAAATAATAATAATAATTAGCAATCTTGCAGTCACTATGTGACTGCCGTGATTTGTGACATTTTCAAAGATATAAGCTCATCCCGATGTTACATTCATCAAGAGCTTTCATTTGAGTACCCACATGCATTTTTTATATATTTTTCATATATACATATATATGATATATATAAATATATGAAAAAACTTGATGTGGGTACTCAAATGAAAGATCT